AAAAAAAATGAAAGAAAAGCAGTCGAAAAATTCAACAACACTTTCTATGCACGACTGTTGTTCATTCATATCAAAAGTACTCAAGCAAACCGATTAACGAAATCGAGTTGTGAATGTGTGGTAATATGAAGTCGAAGTCATACGAAGAGAAGCAAAATATTTTAACATTAGACTGGTATTTTTCTTTTTGGGATCCCATTCCCAATACTCTCAACACTGCTCCCCAAACATCATTTTTCTGTTTCTTTCCTTTCCATTTCAGCTTTTTATTTTCTTTCCCGTTGTATATACCGTAAAAACGGCAACGGAAAAAAAAAAACATTTCACCGAATAAATTGCCTTCAAAAACAACAACAACACCAACAGCAGCAGTTCATTAATTTGTTTTTTATAATTCAAATTCCGTTTAGTTTTTTTTTTGTTTTCGGAATAAAAAAACAGAAGTTCTTTTCTAGACATGAAATTTTACAAGCCATTCAAATCAGGTTGATTCCTAGTATAACATCAACATCATTAGAAGCAACAAATGACAAACAGTAGCAGTGCAGTATCCATCAGCAACCAGTACCAGTACCTCCAGTAGAAAGAAAAAAAAAACGCTTTATCGTTATTTCGTCACCTTCGCAGAAATAACTGTCAAATTTTTCTTTTTTTTTTTTTTTTTTGGCAGAGAAGGGACGGGAGGGGAGCTGAACGGGTGGACGATTAGACAAGTTTACGCCATGGATATTAAATAGACAGAACCGAGACAGGAGCCCGACAAATTCAAAGCGTCATTATAACGTTAGTTAAAAAAAAATAATAATAATAAAACTAAATTAAAAAAGGAATAAAAAAAATAAGCAACTATGAAACAAATTATTGCTAATCTATAGCTAAAAATATTTATTCTGCAGTTTTTAAATCATTTTAATTCGTAAAGATCAATTTCAGTTTGAAAAAAAAAGTGGTGTAAGAAACAATAAAAATTAAAATTTAGACAATAAAAATATATCACAAAAAAAACAGAAATAAAAGTTGAGCACAAAAAAAAAACCCTCCCTTCAACATACCGATACAGAATGATAACTGTTTTGAAAAACATCCTAAGAAACCAATGTTTCCTTACTATTTCCTCAACACAGTCCCTTTTTTCTCACCCTCTTATAAACTGGGTTTCTTCTTTTTTTTCTTTTTTCACATATTCATAAAATAAG